TTGGAATGTGTCCTTGGCCATCCCAATACGTTTACGGATCTCAGTGTCGCACTTACTGTCTTCTGTTAAAACGCTTCGCAGATAACTTCTGCATCTGCTTGATTCCAGTGTTCACGATTTGCAAATTGCATTTCGGGCTATTTTTTTAAAATCAAACTGTATTCCAAAATATAATTTAAAAAACATAAAACACACTTATCACCGCCTCCAGTAATTATGTCCGTATAATTGTATATCTAAAAAAGCTGAGGATTATCTACCATGTATTCAGTTGCGAAAGCAGAATAACATATCGTATTTTTATTATTTCAAATCTCACAAGAAAATTAAATTTCCGCATTAAATAAAACATAAACAGTTGGTATATCGTTAAACAAATCCACAAATTAAGTGCATTGACAAGGAAGAAAATTTATGTTAAAAGTAAATGTCTTTTCATAATTAGACTACAGATTTATTTATTTACCTACGTAAGTGATTAATAGATTCATAACTATATTAAGTGCATTGACAAAGAAGGAGATTATGTTAAAATGAAATTGTTGTGTAAAATAAATGCTTTTTCATCATTATGCTACGAATTTATTGATGTAACTACTTACAAGATTAATATTTATCACTCAATTAAGTGCATTGACAAGGAAGGATATTTTGTTGAAATCAAACTGTTGATGCGTGAAATAAATGCCTTGTTCATCATTAGGCTACAAACTTATTGATGCATCCACTTCCGAAAAATAAATGCTTCTTTCATTATTATAAAATAGAATTTTAAAATTTAGTCACCTATAGTGTTCCATAATTTAAAGTCGGGAATAGTAATAAAAAAGAGTTTTTTTGTTGTTATTTTATTAAAGCGATAAAAAAAACACGGACGTGTTAAAGCAAGAAGAAAAATAAAATGTGCTGTAACAAGAACTAATATTACCGTAATATGGTAATATTACTGTAATGTTGTAATATTACCGTAAGGTGGTAATATCGAAATATAACACGATTAACAAAAATAGCAACTAAATAGATTTATTTGCCTCGTGGAATAATGCATTGTTCCACACGTTAAACTGCATTGCAAGCAATTAGCCCACGTGTACGACAAAGTAAAGGAGGCGTATCCTGCTTTGGTCATTCACAAGACAAAGCGAGGCTACACACTAACAGGTTGACTAAGGGGTAATTCAGACAGACTCTTCCATATCCACCATTCAGTCCCGATTTTGCTCCGGGTGACTATGGTCAATTCTGCTCAATGGCACACTTCCTCCGTGACCAGCGATTCAACACTTTTGATGAAGTGAAGGAAGCTTGTTTGGAGTTTTGGGATTCAAAGCCAGTGGAGTGGTATCTGGGACAGACTTGGATGCTGGCTGATCACTGGCAGAAGATGTCGAGAATGATAGACTTTATTTTGAAGAATAAATGTTGGTATTGCTCCATAAAATTTTGTTGTTTTCTTTCCGCTTCCTAAGTGAATCAGGACGTTCTGGTCAACCCAATATTACAGAAAAATATAACGCTTATAGGTTAATTATCTGTGAAGTGTTCTAACAGAGGATGGAATGTGAGACATTGAAACCCGAAGACGTATTGGGATGGCCAAAGACGCATTCCAAAAGATAAGCAGAGTATTAAGAGACAGGAAAATTGAGCAACGACGAGGTTTTGGAGAGAATAGAAACAAAGAGAAAACTTGTACTTAACATCAGGAAGAGGCAGTTGAAATTTCTGAGACACGTAATGAGGAAGGAGGGCTTGGAAAATCTGATACTCACAGGGCAGATAGAAGGAAAGCGGGACAAGGGAAAGCAATGCATGACATACGTAATGGGCTTGAGCAAATGGATGGTAGAACAAGGTTTGGGATAAATAACAAAAAGACAAAATTTATTAAGAGCTGAAAGAGACAGGAGGATGTGTAGGGCCATGACCACCTACGCCCTGAAGAAACACGGAACATAGAAAAAGAAAATACCTTTAAGCCTATAAATTAAGTTGTAAATATTAGTTGTTTTAATATCACATTTGGTCTATGGTATTCATTTTTAGTTGTTGCACACGTTTTTGTCCTCAATTTAGCTCTCATGAGAGGGGACCAATAAACAGCAGTCTTTTTCTTTAATCACAGCAACTTGCTACAAAATCAAAAAACAATCTGAAATCTCGAATCATGTTCTTAAATAGTCTCGTCGGAACGAGATTTTTATATTGATGCTATGAACAGTGCCAAACCTGTTCAGAGTTATCTAAACTGTCAGTATACAACCGCTTTCTAAGGTCGAAGGTTAAAAGATCAATGGTTGAGCGGGTAAAAGCTGAGGTTTTAGCAAAGATTATCCTTCTTTGAACATTGTGGCCTGGCGATATGAAATCACAAACAAAGAACTGTACTAAATAAGAGAAACCCCATCACCAACAGCAGACACGCCTAAAGTGGACAGCACACGTAATTCGAAGAGAAAATAATGTCATAATCAAGATGTTGACATTTCACGTTACTTCAAATAAAAGGTTAGGAAGGAAACCCTCATCAATACTGGAAATGGTCAATACGTGAACACTTGGGAATATCAGGTACTGTAAGTCTAGATGTGCAGGTGGTGAAATGGTTAATCGGAGAGTCGAGTTTCAATTCCAGTTAAGTTCATTATATTCACTTACGCGTAACTACCCTTGTGAAAGGTATGAATCCATCTCTTTTCTCCCCAGCTATGGGTTAATTTGTATTGTATTTGTATTGATGCGGCATTCACCCTGGGCGGATTGAGCCGGCTTCTTCCTGTTGACTCATTCGTAGTCATGTGAGAAGAAGATTCTTGGGATAAATTACAGAAGTAGGGTACCCAGGACTACTCGAATAACGTTCTTGCTTGCCGCGGGGTTCCCACAGACGCAGAGACAGGAACGACCAGAAGCCGCCGGTTGCCGATGCAGACGCTCCTTAGATTTTTTTAAGAGCAGGTTTGAATTCAGAGTTTTCCTTCTCCTAGACTAGTTGCCATCTATAGAACCCAGTCTGTCCTGCTATTTACCCATAGCTGGAGGGAGAAGGATTCACACCTTTCCCAAGGGTGTTAGCACGTAAGTGAAAGTAATGGATTCGACTGGAATTCGAACTCGGCTCTCCGATTCCTCAATCCAAGCCGCTATCCACTACTCCACCGTACCTCCTCTGTATGGGTTAATTAGTGAAACTTGTACTACTAAAACCATAATCATTAAAATAATTCTTACAACGTAAAAATATTTACTTGTTTTAAATAACCTTCAAAGGGTTGATAAGCTGTCGAAAACGAATCAATCAAAAACAATCAGTAGTGGAAAGAGCGATAACAGCTACTGGACTTGAAAAAACTTTTTTTTTCCTGAAAAATTGTTTTAAGAGAGAGAGTCTGTAAATAAACGACGAAACATTTGACCTATTTGGTATCTATTCTTGGTCGGACTGAGAACTTTTCAGCAACTCTCTTGGACATAACCTGAAACAGCAGTTTTGCTGCGTCGCTGGAAGAAACATAAAAGTCATTTTTCATTCTAAACATTCTTTTCCGTGATATAAAAAAAGAAAACAAATTATTATGCTACTTATTCTGGTTAAATTGCAAAACTGATTTTGAAAAATCGTCTCTGGTTCTGCTCTTAAATAGCAATGCATCAACTTAAAAGAGAAAAGATTTTGAACATTCAAAAGTGAATTAAACGTTATTTTATTGATTCACATTCTGTAAATTGTTTCATTCTTGCTTCGACGTCTCTCCTTTTAGATTTTCATTTTTTCTTTTCGATTTCTTCTTTCTTTCTTCCTTCAATTTGATTTTTTAAAAATTTTCTTTCTTTCTTTCTTTCTTATTCTCTGTTCATCTTTCATTATTTCTTTTCTTTTTCCACCACTTTCTTTCTTTCTTTTTTCTTTCTTCCTTTCTTTGTTTGTTTCTTTCTTTTAGTTTTTCTTTCTTTCTTTTTTTCTTTCTTTCTTTCTTTCTTTCTTTCTTTCTTTCTTTCTTTTAGTTTTTCTTTCTTTCTTTCATTCTTTCTTTGTTTCTTTCTTTCTACCATTCATTTATTGCTTCTTTCTTTCTTTTAGTTTTTCTTTCTTTCTTTCTTTCTTTCTTTCTTTCTTTCTTTCTTTCTTTCATTCTTTCTTGTTTCTTTCTTTCTACCATTCATTTATTGCTTCTTTCTTTCTTTCTTTTTTTCTTTCTTATTCTCTGTTCATCTTTCATTATTTCTTTTCGTGTCCACCACTTTCTTTCTTTCTTTCTTTCTTTCTTTCTTTCTTTCTTTCTTTCTTTCTTTCTTTCTTATCCTCTTCTTTCTTTCTTTCTTTCTTTCTTTCTTTCTTTTAGTTTTTCTTTCTTTCTTTCTTTCTTTCCTTTCTTTCTTTCTTTTCTTTCTTTCTTTCTTTCTTTTCTTTCTTTTCTTTTTCTTTCTTTCTTTCTTTTCTTTCTTTCTTTCTTTCTTTCTTTCTTTCTCTTTCTTTCTTTCACCATTTCATTTTCTTTCACCACTTTCTTTCTTTCTTTCTTTCTTTCTTTCTTTCTTTCTTTCTTATTCTTTTCATCTTTCATTTTTCTTTCATTCCACCACTTTCTTTCTTTCTTTTTTCTTTCTTTCTTTTTTTTTTTTTTTCATTTTTCTTTCTTTCTTTCTTTCTTTCTTTCTTTCTTTCTTTCTTTCTTTCTTTCTTTCTTTCATTCATTTTCTTTCTTTCTTTCTTTCTTTCTTTCTTTCTTTCTTTCTTTCTTTCTTTTTTTTCTTTCTTTCTTTCTTTCTTTCTACCATTCATTTATTGCTTCTTTCTTTCTTTCTTTCTTTCTTTTTCTGCTCTACTTTCCAAACGAAATTCCGCCACTGGATTGCAATGTTGTGTTGTCATGTTCCAGGAATTTCCCCCCGCCATTCCAACGCCAAAAGTCGATTCCGAATCGCCCAGGTCGGAAGAGGGGGGGGGATAGTGAGGTTTTGTACATCGCGTGCTGAAACGCGTACGCGTGCCTGAGCAGCTAAAAAGGAGATGAAGGAGTGGAAAGAGGGGAACCCAATGTTTCAAGTGATGTTGGAATAGCGAAAAACTCAGACAGCAGATATTGGCAACGGGAGGGCATATGGTGGAGGAGGGACAAAAGCGGCAGGCAGCGGCGGTGGTGGTGGTGAAAGGGAGGGGTGAAGAGGAAGAGAAATAAATGGGAGTGATCAATGAAGTGTGAGATGCAGACACTAGTTTAAGGTAAGAGGAAGGATACAGGAACAGAATGGGTTGTTTTCGTTTCGTTCTGCATCTAGGTCGCCTATTGAAACCCCCACCCATCATAGCCATGCGATTATATAAAAAAAAGAAAGAAAGAGAAACGGAGAGTGTGAGAAAGGGAGAAGTGGAACTATAGAGAAGGGAGGAATTCCGAGAATGGCGATTGCAAGTGAGCTGCGTCTTGTTGCTACTGGCAACAGGCATTTAGGAATGCGAAATAAGGCTAACGTACGTTACCGATAAATTCACTGTGCAACTGCACACATGCGCATGCGTTCGCGCATCGATGTGTCTGCGCACGAACGCATCCCGAAGATAAGGCGTATGATCCCAGATTCAAGCAGGCGCTCACAGAAATAATAAACAAATTGATATCTGCAACTTCTCTATATAACAGTGACGGAATAACCTCGATCAAGATAATTATGGTAACATTAGGAGATGCACAAACCTAAGTGTAATAATAGGCATTTCTTTCTCTTA